AGAAAAAAGGAAAAAAAATACCCAAAAAATTAAGCAAAAAAAAAAAAAAAAAAAAGCGAAAAACAAGCACACACAAACACACACCAACAGCAAATAAAAAACACACACACCCTCATAACAGCGCACAAAGACAAATCAGTATTCAGTTTTTGCAATTGCACCTTTTATCAGCGAGGAAAATAGCTCGTGATCTGCCTTTTACAACCGTCCGTCACGCCGATAAGGGTCATTTTTACGCTGGCGGTGACACATTACAAGGACATTTAGCAACATCGTCTCGTTTATCACACTCTTTTAGAGCGACGTCTTCCTCCTCCTCCTCCTCCTCCTCTTCCTCCTCCTCCCCCTTTTCCCCTTTCTCGTATCCCCCCCTTCTCAGTCTCCCTCCTCCTCTTCCTCCCCCCCCCCTTTTCCCCTTTCTCGTATCCCCCACTTCTCAGTCTCCCTCCTCCTCTTCTCCTCCCCCCCCCCTTTTCCCCTTTCTCGTATCCCCCCCTCCTCAGTCTCCCTCTCTCCCTGTCCCTAGTCTCCTCTCTCCTTCTCCCTCTCCTTCCTTCCTTCCCATCTTTTGTACAGCTCCTCCTCACGCCCGTCTCCCCCTCCCCCCTCCCCCCTTCCCCCTCCCCCCTTCCCCCCCTCCTCTCACCTATAAGCTTCCTCTTTTAGTTTCTCTTTCCTCTTACCTCTTCTTTTTTCTCCTCCGTCGGTTCTTACTTCTTTTCTTCCTCTTCCTTTCGTCTTTTCTTCTTTATACTTCTTCTGTATTTCTTATTTTTCTCTTCTTCCCCTCCCTCCTTCCCTACCTTTCCTCTCTCTCTCTCTGCTCTTCCTTTCTCCTCTTTCGCTTTCCTTTTTCCTATATTTTTCTTCTCTCCCCCTTCCCTTTCTCCTATTTCGCTCCACCTCGCTTCTCCTCTTTCCTTTCCCTCCTTTCCTCCCTAAATCTCTTTTTTCCTCTCTTCCTCTTCCTCCTCTCCCCTCTCCCACTTCTCTCCTCCACTTTCTCCTCTTCTTCGCCTCCCCTTCTCCCACTTTTCTCCTCCTCTCCCCTCTCCCACTTCTCTCCTTCTTTCTCTCCTCTCCTTCGCCTCCCTTTCCCCCACTTCTCTCCTCCTCTCTCCTCTCTCACTTCTCTCCTCCTCTCCGCCTCTCCCTTCTTCCTTCTCTCCTCCTCTGTCTCCTCTCCTTCGCCTCCCTTTCCCCCACTTCTCTCCGCCTCTCCCCTCTCCCACTTCTCTCCTCCTCTCTCTCCTCTCCTTCGCCTCCCTTTCCCCCACTCCTCTCCTCCTCTCCCCTCTCCCACTTCTCTCCTCCTCTCCCCTCTTCCTTCTCTCCTCCTCCTCCTCCTCTCCTCCTCTCCCCTCTTCCTTCTCTCCTCCTCCTCCTCCTCTCCTCCTCTCCCCTCTTCCTTCTCTCCTCCTCCTCCTCCTCTCCTCCTCTCCCCTCTTCCTTCTCTCCTCCTCCTCCTCCTCTCCTCCTCTCCCCTCTTCCTTCTCTCTCCTCCTCTCCCCTCTTCCTTCTCTCCTCCTCTCCCCTCTTCCTTCTCTCTCCTCCTCTCCCCTCTTCCTTCTCTCCTCCTCTCCTCTCTTCCTTCTCTCCTCCTCCTCCTCCACTTTCGTAGATGAATTATCTTTTCCCGGACCAAGAAGAGTAATGAGGAAATACAAACAGAGATTCATCTTGCTTCGGATTTCTTTCTTTCTCTTCTGTATCAGTGGAAAACAGTCGCTCGGGATGACAGGGTTCTTAGAGTATAACGCAGGCCGGATCTTTCTCTCTTTCTCTCTCTCTCTCTTTCTCTTTCTCTTTGTCTTTGTCTTTGTCTTTCTCTTTCTCTTTCTCTTTCTCTTTCTCTTTCTCTGTCTCTGTCTCTGTTTGTCTGACTCTCTCGCTCTCTCTCTCTTTCTCACTCTCTCTCTTTCTCTTTCTCTTTCTCTCTCTCTCTGTTTATCTGTTTATCTGTCTGTTTATTTGGTTGTCTATCTATCTGTCTATCCCAATCTATATTGCTCATTCTCCATATCTTTATCTCTATTTATCTTTCTCATTCTGTTTCTGCCTCTGTCTCTCTCTTTTTCTGTCTCTCTCTTACTCTTTCAACTCCCCTTTCTCTCCCTCCCACTCTCTCTCACACACACACACACACACACACACACACACACACTCACACACACACACACACACACACACACACACACACACACACACACACACACACACACACACACACACACACACACACACACACACATATATATATATATATATATATATATATATATATATATATATATATATATATATATGTATATATATATATATATATATATATATATATATATATATATATATATATATATATATATATATATACATATATATATATATATATATATATATATATATATATATATATATATATATATATATATATATATATATATATATATATATATATATAAAGTCTTTTTAACATTAGCTACGCAATACACACGTACTT